TTTGGTGGCGGAGTCCCTAGAGCCTGCCAGTCAAAGTTCTCTGACTGCCAGGATCTTGTCCATGACCTATTTATTGCACATAGTGTGCGCACATTTAACACTGGTAACGGCTGGAAAGGACCCTGGAGGTCTTCTAGTCCGACCCCCTTCTCAAGCAGGAGGCCCTGTACCGTTTCAGACAGGTGGCTGTCCAATTTCTTCTTAAAAACCTCCGGTCTGGGAGGAGCGCCACCCCCACTTCGGGTGGCAGGCTGCTCCACTGGGTCGCTACTGTTCTAATTCTCAGGAAATCCCTCCCTTCTTTCCTCGGTTAGTTTCCACCCATTGCTTCTTGTCCTGCCTTCTGGTGCTTTGGGGAATAGGTTGACCCCACTTCCCCCACCCCCCGTTCTCTCTGAAAAGCCACTCAAATACAGGAAGATGCTCCCCTACTGTGTCCCCCCCGCCCCCCCAATGTCCTTCCCTTCACTAGACAAACCCAATTCCTGCATCCGTTCTTCGAGTGTTTTAGCCTGCAGCCCTCGGACCCTCTTTATAGCAGCATGCTCCATTTGGGTGGGTAGCAGGCCTTCCCTGCCTGAACGAGGGGGGGGGGGGGGGGGGGGGGGGGCTGATTTAAGGGGGCAAAGCCAGTTCCGTGGACCTCCCGGAGGCCCTCTGCCCCCTAAAGCCTTTCCAGGTAACGACCAGCCTCCTGCCTCACTGGGTGCCCGCCCCAAGCACTCACTGCGCTTCCTCTTCTTCCGGCCAACGTCGTCCTCCGAGTCTCCGGAATCGCTGGCCTCTTCCTCCTCCTCCTCTTCCTCATCGTCGTCGTCATTGATGAACCCTTTCAGGTTCCCCTGCTCATCCTGGTCGTCCAGGTTCTCCTCTTCCTCCTCCTCTGGAAGGGGCGGCCAGAAAGAAAGGAAAGGAAATAAAAACCAAAAGAAACGGGAGACCTGGCCTGGGGTGTGTGTGTGTGTGTGTGTGTGTAAGAGATGGAAAACTTCACGGGGGCAGAACCACCTCTCGGGAACGGAGGCCCAAACACCCCTTGGCTTTGGATCACAAGCGGATCTGTGGAGGAATCAGACAGCCAGCAGTTCTCATCCTGGGAACTGGCCAACCAGATTTGGGGCGTGTGTGTGTGTGTGCGTGTGTGTGTGTGTGTGTGCGTGTGTGTGTGTGTGTGTGCGTGTGTGGGTGGTGTCTGGCTAAGCTAGGAGCAAAGCAGCCACCCAAACGGCCGGGAGCTGACTTCAAATTCCAGGAAGGCTCCTGAAAGGCCAACTGGGCTTATTGTGACCAAATGAGTTCTGGTCACAAAGGATTATCCGGTCTGCCATCTCCGAGGTGACGTTGCTTCTCAGGGTGTGGGTGCCGTGACAGAGAAGGCCCGAGTCAGGGTCTCTCCAGGTGACACTTCCTAAGAGAGGGGACCCCTGAGCAGGCAGCTCTGGGGATTTTGGTGGGGCCAGCGGAAGGAATCAGAGGAGGAGGCCTCCCCACCCAAATACCCCCCACCCCCACCCCCGTTGGCCTGTGTTATGTAGGGCTTTTGGGGTAACCGACTCCGAAGGCCACCGGGAGACGGCACCTGGCAGAGCGGAGGTATTATGGAAGGGCTTCAAAACCGGCCCCCTGGGTGGAGATGATTGCTGCCTGGCTCTTGATCTTAGTCCTTACGCATCTCTCTTTATTTTTAATTGCTTTTATATTGGTTTCACGGTTTGTCAGCCACCCAGGGCTGCCTTATCCGGGAGGTGGGCAGCAGCATAGAAACTTAGTAAATCCATTTACATAAGGAGCGCGGTGGCTCACGTGGTTGGGACACTGGGCAAGAGATTTCCAAGCCCACTTCGAGACCCACGTCCCACGGTAGGGTGGCGTGAGTTCCCATCCTTGGCTCCAGTTCCTTGACAGGGACCTCAATGGAACCTCCACGGAAGTTCCCCAGGCAACGGTGATACCACCAGCAAATCCTTTCAACCGGGAAGTGCCTTACAAGGCCCCTTTGACCCAGAGGGTCAGGGGACTCCATTTACTTGGCCATCTTGTGGAATACCCAAAATTTTGCTGTGCCCTGCAGGGCCTTCCGGACCAATGGCACCACCTGAAGGCTTGTCAAGGGCAGCCTCACATGCAGAATGATGTTACAGTAATTCAACCACGATCGCGACACGAGGAACCATGAATACGGCCCACAGGATTGATTGATTTTATCGATTTATTGAATTTATTGGCTGTCCTCCTCGTAAGGAAGCGACTTTTAACTTTCACGGGACGAACTGAGGGACCGATCACAACAGGCACACATGTTGGGAACACTGCCTAAAATGCTCACCGTCTTCGTCTTCCACAAACTTTTTGGGGGGTCTCGAGACCACTTCCCCGTCTTCGTCATACTCCTCCTCTGATTCTTCCGCTTCGCTTTCCACAAAGTCGGACATGGCTGTGGTTCACGGTCGCGCTGCCTGGAAAGGGGGTGGGGGGAGAAAGAGGCTGGAGTTAGAATCCCCGTGGTCGTTTTACTCATTTACAAAGCAACTTAGAACTAAGGAGAAATTTCCTGATAGGATAATTAATCAGTGGAACAACTTGCCTCCAGAAGAGTAAACGCTACAACACTGGAAGTTTTTAAGAAGAGATTGGACAACTATTTGTCTGAAGTGGTGTAGGGTGCCTTGCCTAGGAAGGGGGTTGGACTAGAAGACCTCCAAGGTCCTTTCCAACTCTGTTATTCTATATTCTAAATAAGATACTGAGATAGTGGCTAATATAATATTGTCAGACCCCTCACATCCCAGATATAAACTGTTTCAACTCCTACCTTCAAAACAACACTACAGAGCACTTGCACACCAGAACAACTAGACAGAAGGGGAATTTTCCCCCCAACACCACCCCTCTGCTTAAACAAATAATTCCCTCAACACTGTCCACCTATTTACAAGGTCTGCATTACTATTACTCTTCTCGTCACTCCTTATCATCCATCCTCTCCCACTTGTGACTGTATGACTGTAAACTTGTCGCTTGTATCCTAACAATTTATATTGTTTCCTAGTGTGATCTGATTGCTTGTTGTACCCTATGACTATCGTACCTTATGATTCCCAGCTCTGATGAATGTATCTTTTCTTTTACGTGCACTGAGAGCATTTGCACCAAGACAAAATTCCTTGTGGGTCCAATCACACTTGGCCAATAATTAATTCTTTCTCTTTCTTTTTCTTTCTTTCTTTCTTTTTCTCTTTCTTTCTTTTTCTTTCCTTCTTTCTCTTTCTTTTTTTCTTCTTTTTCTTCCTTCCTTCCTTCCTATCTGATTTGATTGCTTATTGTACCCTACGACTAAGTGTTGTAGCTTATGATCCTTGATGAATGTACCTTTTCTTTTATGTATACTGAGATCATTTGCACCAAGACAAATCCCTTGTGTCTCCAACCACACTTGGCCAATAAAGGATTCTATCTATCAGCACTGTGCAAGTATACAACAGGAAGGGGGCCAGTGTGTTCCAGCAGTTCCAAGTCCACTTTTTCCAGAGAACAACAAATATTTTATTAGGGTCCAAGACCAGATATGACCAAATACAACCTGAGAAATCAGCAAAGCCTGATTAGTTAACCATTACCCTCAAGCTTTACGGCTTGGGTCTAGAATTTAGCAGAGGTGGAATGGATACCCAGATGGTCATCTTTTAGGAAAAATTCTAGATTCGACCCGTCAGACAAGCCAGTCTTTTAATGAAGGCTGTTGGATTGCAGTTGGTTCTCGACTTGCCACTATTCGTTTAGTGACATTCAAAGACATGACGGTAGTGCGGGGGGGAGAGACGGACAAGACTTATGACGTGATCAAAATTCAGAGGCTCGGCAACTGGCATGTACTTATGACAGTTGCAGCCTCCCAGGGTCTTGTGATCCCCTTTTGTGACCTTTTGACAAGGAAAGTCGACGAGGAAGTCACATTCACTTAGTGACTGAGGCAAAGTCGTAGAATGGGGCAAAACTCACATAACACTGTCTTGCTTTGGGGACTTGTGGTCATAAGTGAAGGACTAGCAGCCATGATAAACCTACGCAAGGGTCAGGATTCCGGCAGTTACTCCAATTAAATCATGAGTCTCAAGCCAAACTTTTCTTTTTGTGTCATACAGGTCACCTTTGAGAAGTGAGGGGAGCCGAATGTCATAGAAATGTTTTATGAATTGGCAACGAGCACCGGTGATAGCCTCTCACCAGGGAGCTGTGAAGACAGGGCGAGACAAACAAGAGAAGGTCGAACCACATTGGGATCGTTCCAGAAACATGGCAGCAGAGGCAGGGAACATCTCTACAGGCAGTCCTTGACTTACAACTGTTCACTTAGTGACCAAAGTTCCAACAGCACTGAAGATACTTACAAGCATTTTTCACACTTACACCTGTTGTAGCATCCACACAGTCACGTGATTTACATTCGAATGCTTGACAAATGATTCAGGTTTATGACGGTCACAGAGTCCCGGGGTCAGGTGATCCCCTTTTGTGACCTTCTGACCAGCAAAGTCAAAGGAGGAAACCAGATCCACTTAACAACTGGGTTACTAATTCAACAACTGTGCTAATTCACTGAACAAATGTCGCAAAATGGGGCAAAACCCACGTCACAAATGGCTCACTTAGCGACAGAAATTTTGGCCTCAATTGTGGTTGTAAGTGTTCAACGGTGGGGTTCATTGGTGCCCCTCTGAGCTTGGTGGTTTTCTTGCGAGACGTCTCATTACCAATCTAGGCAACGCCATCAATGCAAGTCAGGAGTGGGGTTAAAAAGAGAGCAAGCCCCACTTCCTAATAGTACTGATGTTACCTAGTTTGATAAGGAGACGTCTGCAACAAAACCACCAAGCTCAGAGAGCACCAAGGACCCCTCTGCTCTCTCAAGCCTCAGCCTTCCACCACCACCACCACCACCACCACCATCCTCACTTCCATCACCCGAGTGACGGGCAAAACGGTTCCCTCCTTGCCAGCTTCAACTCCACCTGCAACCAAGTCCTTGCAAGCATTTCTTGGATCTTTGTTGTTACCTTCTCCAAGCACCCATTTATTTGGTGCCTTTGAGCCACTGTTGGCTGCTGGCCTGCAATACAGGTAGTCCTCGAGCTACGACCACAATTGAACCCAAAATTTATGTTGCTAAGTGAGTTTGTCCCATTTTTATGCCATACTTTTTTAAAAAAAAATTAAAGTTATTTTTTGTATTTTATTTATAATACAAACATCCATTAAACAGTGTGTGGTCTGGGTACAAATGCTTTGTGCAAAAACAATTAAAATTTCCAATTGTAATTACATTGGTATTCTCTATTCTTGGATTATTACAGATATACATGTCTAATTTTTATAGCAAACCCTCATCTTTTGTTCTATAAGCATATTTTCTATTCGCTAGTCTCTAACTTCCATATTTTTTCTCTAACCATTGATAAAATGATCCCCATATTGTATAATATTCGGTTTGTTCCTTCTCTTTAATTCCAAGTGTTAACCTGTTCATTTCTGCACATTCTAATATTTTCCTTATCACATTTTCATTAGTAGGAATCTTTTTACTTTTCCAATTTTGTGCAAATACAATTCTAGCTGCGGTTAAGACATGAATAATCAAATATACATTCTCTTCACTATAAACTTCAGGTAAGATCCCCAACAAGAATATTTCAGGTTTTAAATCAATATCCTGTTGCATCTTTTCCAGCCATGTGTTGGAAAGGGGATAGTGTGATCCCGGGAACACAGCGACCGTTGTAAATGTGAATCAGTTGCCTAGCATCCAAATGTAAATCATGTGACCATGGGGATGGTGCAATGGTCAAAAATATGAAAAATGGTCATAAATTACTTTTGTCAGTGTGGTTGTGACTTTAAACGGTCACTAAGTGTTGTAAGTCAAGGACTCCCTGTAGTCCCTGAAGTTTTCTTGGAAGTGGGTTGTCATCGCCTCCTTCCTGAGGCTGAGAGAGTGTGACTGGCCCAGAGTCACCCAGCCGGCTTTCATGCCTAAGGCGAGATTAGAACTCAGCGCATCCCAGTTTGTAGCCTGACCCAGCCTTAACTACTATACCAGTCTCACTCTTTACTACATGATTACATCAAACTGGCAGCTGTTATTAGGCGAGTAACACTCTGCAGGAATTCCTAAACAAGAAATTACAGAGGTCTGCATTCTTTTTATTATTCAAGCAAACACGGGCTCCTCCCTGCTCTGCCAGCCTTAAATATGCATTTCCTAAGTGATCTCCTCAGAAGCCATTTTGCTCTCCTGGGGCAACTCTGAATACCGAAGCCTTTCCGCACTTGCCACCATACTGGCCAGGGGATTGTGGGAGTAGGAAGTCATTACATCTGGAAGGTGCCAAACCAGAGAAAGCTTGAAATTCAGGAAAATGGCACCCATCCAGATCGGGGTCTCCCACCTTGGGCAACGTTAAGACTTGTGGACCTCAACTCCCAGAATTCCTCAGCAAGCTGGCTCGGGAATTCTGGGAGTTGAAGTCCACAAGTCTTAAAGTGGCCAAGGTGGGAGACCCCTGTTCCAGAGGACTCTCAGCATCTCTAACAATCAGTAAATCACAACAAATAATAGCAACAAGCAGCAAATAACACTATCTGGCACTACAGATGGAGAATGAAGACCAAAATATTGATTCACTTAAGATTATAATCCACAAGGAGGAAAATCTGGGGCTGCAAGTTGGAGCAGAGTCTTCCTGACTTACCAATCTGCCTTCCTGTTATGGTATCTTTATAGACCCCCAGTATCCAAAAAGGGACATTAGGGCGTATTTCTCTTACTATTCTTCAGGGAAGTTGGACTACAATCCCCAGACTCCCAAGTGTGCCAGGTCAGTATTCATAGAATATAAGAGACTTCACCCACCGTGTTTAAGTGAAGTAACTCGTAAACAAGGTACTTATTCTCATTATGTATTGTAGAAAAGAGTCGAGAGAAGAGCTGTGGTCACAAAGGACTCCAAAACAGAGGAGCAAGACGAAGTAGGGGTTGGCAACTAAGATTTGTGGACTTTAACTCCCAGAATACCGCAGCCACCCTGGGGAATTATGGGAGATAATCCCCATAGGTCTGAAAGTGGCCAAGATTAGACCTCCCTGCTCAAGAACAGGTCTAAGTCAAAGCAGCTCCATTGCACCTTCATATATCCCACCTGAGCACAAAGCAGCAAGGATTCACGCTGGCTTATGCAGACCCGCCAATCAAAACCTTAGCAGGATATACTGGAAGGATGAAAATCTCCGGAATCCAGAAAGGAAGGGTCAGGGTGATGAAAGGGAGGGAAGGTTCGCCCTCCCAAGTTTCCCTCACCCTTCATTTGGTTTCTTGCAATTCTTGCGTTATTCTGCAGTGCTGCAGAACTCGAGGGTGCAGGTAGTCCTCGACTTACAACCATATCGTTGCTGTTAGTTGTGAAGTCGTGTCCGACCCATCGTGACCCCCACGGACCCCGTTCCTCCAGGCCTCCCTGTCCTCTACTGTCCCCCGGAGTCCCTTTAAGCTCAGGCCGACTGCTTCAGGGACGCCATCCAGCCGCCACCTTCTCTACCGTCACCCCCTTCTCCTTCTCTTGCGCTCCGTCGTTCCCAGCAGCACTCGGCTCTTCTCCGCTGGGTCCTTCCTTCTCCTGAGGTGGCCAAAGTCTTTGAGCTTCCTCTTCAGGATCTGGCCTTCTAAGGGGCAGTCAGGGTGGATCTCCTCTAGGAGGGACCGGTTGGATGGCCTCGCAGGAGCCTTCTCCTCCAGCCCCCGAGTTCAAAGGCCTCCATTCTTTGGTGCTCAGCCTTCCTTGGGGTCCCACTTTCACGGCCACGCATTGCAAGTGGGAAAACCAGAGACTTGGCTCCCGGAGGTGGTCAAAGAAGAGAAAGGGCAGCCCTCTCTCCAGAATCACAAGGGTTGGACTAGAAGACCTCCAAGGTCCCTTCCGTCATTCTGTTTCTGTGAAGAAAGCTCCTCGAACGGGCAAAATCCACTTCGCAGGCGTCTCACTTAACAACAGAAAAGGTTTTTTGGGAGGGGGGGTGTCCCTGGTGGTCATAAGTCGAGGACTCCCTATGTTTTCATCCATTGTTTTTTTTTTCCAATTCCCGGGCTTTCCCCTCCCACCTCAGGCAATAACACGGCAGCTTGGGCGGGGAGGGGGCCTCCGCCTGGAGTCCTTCCCCCACGGCCCCACCAGGCCCGGCCCACCGGAGAAGAGCCTCCCCGTCTTTTCCGGGGCCCGGGAACGAACGAGGGAGGGGAAAGAAACGCCCCCTGCCCCATATCCCAAGAGGGGAGGGGTCGCCCTCTCCCTCCGACCGCCGCCAGGCCCAGCCGAAAGCTCCCCTCACGCGTGGGGGGGGGAGGGGGAGGCGGCACCGCTGCAATCCGGGCCTCGCCCTCCCCGCCCCCGACTCCTCCCCGGCTGGGCCGCCTCGACAGGGGGACCAGAGGCCTCGGGGGCCGCTCCGGGACCCTCCAGCCGCAGGCGCCACCCCCCCGCCCCGCGTCCACCCGGCTCACCTCAGGCGGGGAAAATGGAGGCCTCGGAGCTCCCTCAGCGGCGACGACGACGACGCTGGGGAGGGGGGGCGGGGAGGGGCGACGACAGGAAAGGCCGGGAAGGACTTCCGGGGCGGGGCGATAACGCCCTCGGTGATGAGAGAGACGCTCTGCTCTACCCTCTCTGTGGTTGGGAGCGTGGGGAGGAAGAAAAAAAAAAAGTTCGGCCGGAAGTTCCTGGGCCGCTCTGCGCGGCGCCGGCTCTATGGCTTCCTGTCAGGATCGACCGGCGGCGGAGGATGAGGCTGGCGGCGGTGGCGGCGCTGCTGCTGCTGGTTCTCCGGCCGGGTGAGGCGGGCGAGACCGGCGCGGTGACCTGCGGCTCGGTGGTGAAGCTGCTCAACCCGCGTCACGGCGTCCGCCTCCATTCGCACGACGTCCGATACGGATCCGGTACGATCCAGGGTCATGGTTTGGCCCTTGAGTGGGGGAGCGGGACGTGAGAGGATTCTGCACATGCTCAGGGGCGCTCTCCACCCTGCCGGAAGCGCCTCGTAGGACCAATGGGGGACCGCCCTTGTCTCCAGGACCCCTCATTTTGGGGGGGGGGGGGCTTCTCGCCTCCCCGCCTCCTTCATGGAATCGGTTTTTGGCTATAAGTGTCTACAAGTCACCTAGTCCTCACCTTACGACCACAATTAGGACCTGAAGTTCCGTTGCTAAGCGAGGCTTGCCATGGTCATTAAGCGAACCCCGGGGGTCGTTAAGCAGATCTGGCTTTCCCTGTTGGTCGCAGAGAGTGATGGGGATGCTGGGACCGGCTTACAACGGTGCCTTCTGTGATGGTCGTAAGTGCGAGGATCAGTCCTAAGTCACTTGGAGGGCAGCCCGCGGTCTGCACATGCTCAGAGGCACTGCCGTCCCTACCTTCAGCCGCTCCTATGACCCCCGTGAAGCGGCCTGGCCTCCCCTCTCTCTCCCCGGGGTCCAGACCCAGAGCCCTTCTTTTTGGGTGGGGATCTCTCGCCCTCCCCGGCTGCTTTACGGCCCCACCACCATCACTTGCTGCCCTCAGGGGCAAGAGGGAGGCACAGGCCGTCCTCGACTTACAAACCGCTCGTTTAGTGACTGTTCGAACCTACAACGGCACTGGAAAAAAAAGTGACCGTTAGGACCGTTTTTCACACTTACGACCGTTGCAGCATCCCTGGGATCACATCAGCGTGCAAAGGCTTGGAAACCGACTCACGTTTACGACGGTTGCTGCGTCCTGGGGTCACGTGATCAATCCCCTCTTGCGACCTCCGGACAGGCAAATCAGTGGGGATTCACTTAACAGCCGTGTGGCTAAGTTAACAGTGGCAGTGATTCACTTAACGGATGTGGCACAAAAGGTTACAAAGTGGGGCAAAACTCATTTAACACATGTCTCGCTTAGCAACCCAAAATTTGGGCTCAGTTATGGTCGTAAGTCAAGGACTGCGTGTAGTCGTCGTTATCATCATCATCATCATCATAACCACAACGAGGGCTTGAATTTCCATTGCTTCCCCTGATTGTAAAGCCCTTTTTTTTGCCTCCGTTGTTAAACGAGTGACTGCGGTTGTTAAATTAGTGATGGGGTCGTTTAAGGGAATCGGCCTTCCCCACTGGCTTCGCTTGTCAGAAGGTCACAAAGCGGGAAAACGTGTGACCCCCCCACCCAGGATACGGCGACTGTTGCTTTTTTGTATATATATATATAAAAATGTTTATTACTTTATCAGACTGTAAAATACAAAGAAGATAAAAATAATGGGAAAAGTACGGGAGGGAACCGGAGAAAGTGTGAGGTAGGAGGGGAAAATGAAAATAAAGACGTGGACCTCTGAGTTTTTTGTAGCACAGTCGAAGATTGCCTCCTCAACCTTTTTTACTTTTTCACAATAATATATGTGCGTGTGTGTATAAAATATAATATATAAAATACGTATAATTCCAGCCATTTCTGCAACAGCAACTCTTATCTAATCTGCAAAACCAAAACCAAAGTGTCACTTTTTCCATCAGCAGCACGAAATCCAGAAATGGTTTCCAAATGGAAAGAAAACATTAGATATATTCTTTTCTTTGAATAAAGCAACCAGTTCAAACCTCACTCCCTTTGCAAGGGAATCCCATCACACAGCCCTTAAGTGATTCTGACTTTCTTCCATGGGGGGGTCAGTGGGGGGGGAGTTGCAGGTGGCAACCAGGTGACCTTGGGGAGGCTGCACTCAAGCACAAATGCCACTGCCAATTGCTAAGCATCCAAATTTTGATCACGTAACCGAAGGGGACGCTGTGATGGTCATAAGGGTGAGGACTGATTATGTGTCTCTTTTGTTCAATGCCATTGTAACTTTTTATTTTTTAAAAGAATTTTTTTTATTTTATATGCAAAAAAATAAATTCCATTTCAATCGTGCGTTGATTGGGTACATATTTCAATTACTTAACCATTATTAATAATATTCTTGTCAAACTTAGCAATATAACAATAATCACATTCCCATATATATAATAAGTGAGATCCGCTATATCTATTACATTAGCTTCTTTTATTGCTCTATGAATACATCTAATCCCTTTTAGTTTGTTCTGTTTTCTATCCACTGATAAAACAAATCCCATACTGTATAATATGCAGATTCTTCTAAATGCCATCGTGATTTTGAAGGGTTGCTAAATGAACGTAACCAGTATATGAAATGAGTGGCTATATAAATATGAAATAAGTGGATTGAGGGACAGTGAACTTCCCTGAGGTCAGCCGAAGTCACCGGATGCTGTGTGAAATATCTGGAGGTGGACTGGCCTGACCTGCATCATCTGGAGGTCCTTCTCAGGGCAAAGAGGTTTGGGCGGGGGGCGGTCATTCTCGAAAGGGGCCCCTGTTTCTCTGATAAAGTTGTGGGCCAGAAAGTTTGAACAGTCAAATAAAGACAGTCTATTAAAAAAAACCACCTGGAGTCTGTTTTAAACATATTAATCGCTGTAATTGAAGCATCTTGCAGGGTGAAGAGGCAGGTTGGAGGTCGAATGAGGTGGTCAGGTGAAAGTCACCTGTGCATGTTCTTCTCTGTCTGACCAGGCAGCGGGCAACAGTCGGTGACCGGAGTCACCAGTGTGGACGACAGCAACAGCTACTGGCGAGTGCGGGGCAAGTCGTCCAGCGTCTGCGAAAGAGGCACCCCGGTACAATGCGGCCAGACCATCCGCTTGACCCACATCAACACAGGCCGCAACCTGCACAGCCACCATTTCACCTCTCCCCTTTCAGGCAACCAGGTGAGGCGGCCAGGTGACCACAAATGGCTAGCAAGCAACGGCCTTCAGCCCTTCTGGAGCCGGCAGTTCGCTTTTAAAGGTTGAGTCGCTTTGTGGAGTGAGATGGGCCTTGTGTCAACTGAGTAAATGAATGAATGAATAAACTCGGGCTCCTTCTCCCTCTTAACGTATCTTCTGATGAAACTCTAATTATATCGAGCATGGTAATATTAACCATTATGTACAATAGTCCTACTGTTTACATCTCTTTCTTAATATATGTTCTTTATTTCACTAATCTCCATTTATTTCTCACTTCTATTTTTATTCTCCAACCGTGCATAAAATAACTCCCGTGTACTATAATATTCAGTTTGTTCTTTCTCCTTTATACAAGCATTAATCTATTCATTTCTGCACATTCGAATATTTTCCTAACCACATTCTCGTCTATAGGGATCTCATCACTTTTCGTACTACGCATATATTTTCATGGTCCAAGTCTATTATTTTCTTATGGCGTTTAACATAAAAATCCTCTTATTTGGTGCGTATATTGCTACTAAAAGTACCTATTAGTTATTCTCCATCCTCAGAATCCTCCCTTTCTCATCTGCAAGGATTTGCTTAACATTTATTGTCTCTTTTACATAAAGGGCTATTTCCCTCTTCTTTGGTTGTGGTAAGGAAGTGTATAACTTCCCAATTTTAGGATATTCCGGTACTTTATTGTGTTGTTTTTTAATGTGAACTTCTTGTAAGCAGATTATGTCTAATTTCTACTTTTCTAATTTACTAAAAACCTTTTTCCTTTTTATTGCCGAATTCATTCCGTTTATGTTAATTGACATTAATTTTACTTCTTCCATGATTTCACTTGTAGATTGGTTTTGTTGTTCTAGTCGCTCTTATCTCTCGATTCTCTGAGTTTCGCTCCTTCTCTCCTTGCTATTTCCTCCGAACCTCTTTCGTCTTCTCTTCGTTGTACACTTCTCTCTCCTGTAGCTCCCTCTTGTCGCCTGTCCTCCCTTGTCTCTTTTTCCTCTCCTGTTCTCGGTTCCTCCTGTGATCCGAAATAATGTTCGTAAAATTGTTCCGCTTTTTCAATAGAATTTGATCTGTGTCTTTGCTCCATCCAAGTCATCCAGTATTCCCTCTGGTATTAGCCACCCGAAGTTCACTCCATTTTTAATAAGTTGCTTTGTCAGGAATTGATATTCCCTCCTTACCTCTCTGACTCTTCTTGGGATCTGTTTTAGAACTACTATCTCTTCTCCTTTATATTTTAAAGGGTTATTATCTCTCGCTGTGTTTCCATTGCTTTTTTTTAGTAAATCTTACACGTACTTCTCTAGGAAGGCTGGTTCTTGCCACGTATCTGGTATGAATTCTAAACGTTTCACCGATTTCGGCCAGCGCTTTTTCTTTGGTGACCTCTAACGCCTCCGCCGATAGTTCTGCGAGTATCTCCGGCAGGTCCTCTCCCTCAAAATGCCATGCTCTCTGTTCCAGGAGGTCAGCGCCTTTGGGGAGGACGGTGAGGGGGACTTCCTGGATGACTGGACCGTCCTGTGCAGCGGCAAGTACTGGGAGAGGCAGAGCGAGGTGCGGTTCAAGCACACGTCCACCGAGGTGCTCCTTTCGGTCACCGGGGAGCAGTACGGCCGGCCCATCCACGGACAGAGGGAAGTTCACGGCCTGGCTAAGTCCGGCCAGGACAGCTTCTGGAAGGCCATGGAAGGGATCTTCGTCAAGCCCACGGAGTGGCTCAAGGCCGGCCTCTACCACACGGAGCTATGACCGGCAAGGGGCATCCTCGTACGCCTACCACTCAAGGCCATCCCGTCGGTACAGTCTCCCAGGCGGTGGCTGTGCTGACCGAGACGGGGCTGCGGCGGGCTCTTCTTTCCCACCCCCTGCAAAGGACAGTGGCCTTTCTGTGCTCGCTCTCGGCACGTGGCCCATCGCTGCCTGTTTCAAGACAGGCTCTGTGTGTGCGCGTGCGTGTGTGCGTGCGTGCCTGGGAATGGGCCCTCAATAAACATTGGATATCCAAACAGCTGCTTCAGGTAGTCGGGTCTTCCTTCTGCGGATTCTCCCACTACTTCGCAGTTCCAACAGCGCTGTAAAAAAATGACTTCTTACAACCATTTGTCACCCTTGTGACCATTGTAGCATCTCTTATTATAGATCAAAATTCAGGCGTTTGGCAACTGACTCCTATTTATGACGGTTGTCCCAGGGGGTCATGTTGTTGGAAGAAATAGCCTTCTGGGTTCAGTTCCAAGCGGGGAAGAAAGACGCTAGAAACACGGAGCCTGCTTGGAAAGGTGGTTTAATGGTGGACAGGATCACCTGCCTTGGGTGAAGAAAGAAGGAAGGGAAGAGAGGCTGAGAGTGCCCGGGTTTTATACCCTCCGTTGGGATTTGAAGTTGAGCTTGCATTCTGACTGGTTGTCAGACTCCCACGCGGCCAGGTAGGGGCAACCCTGTAGGCCAGGGGTCTCCAACCTTGGCAACTTGAAGCGTGGAAGAGCTTTGCTGGCTGGGGAATTCTGGGAGTTGAAGTCCGCCAGGCTTAAAAGTTACCGAAGTTGGAGACCCCTGCTGTGGGCTGGCCTGGTTGAACCTTGCTGGGTGATGATGTAAAATGAAAGGGCTTTAGGCAATTCCTATTATGGATGTCCCTGGAGGAGATCTTTGTTATGTAGAATAGACCGGCCTAGGCCGGAGTAGTGGCAAAAGGTGGTGGCGGGGGCTGAGTTTCTGCCTCTCTTGAGTTTCTCCTTTTCTTTTTAGGGGAAATACCCTGCCTTTTCAGTATATTTTCCTCGGAGATGGGTGGGTTGTAACTTCCAACCATGTCATCCCTTTTTGCGTCCTCCTGACAAGCAGGGAAAACGGGGAAGCCAGACCCACTGAACAGCCGTTTTAAGTCCCCAGGAAGGATATAGGTGGGCCAGAAGGCCAAACCCCAGTCTGAACATCTGGCTGATCGGGCGACCGGCCACCTTAAGGATCGTCCCTTGGGGAGGAGGCTGCAGGGGAGGTTGAAGAGGAGACGGGCAGCAAATAACTGTCAAAATAAATAAATTTCATAATAAATAAATAAATGTCCTAATAAATAAATTTGATAATAGATCAACAAATAAAGGACAACTCCTGATTTTTGGCCCCCGAGTCACAGGCTCTTCCTTCTCAACCTGGGGCTCTTGAAGGTGTGTGAACTTCAACTCCCAGAAACCCTCAGACAGTCACGTGACACACACCCCGGGGGGGGGATTCCATTGCCAAACACCGTCCTACCGGTAGCAGGTGCAGCTCCCTTTGCGCGCAGTCCAAGCAAGAGAACTCGCTTTCCCGGCCTGCTCTAGGCGACTTTTGCCGCGCTTGCGCAGTACGGATCCCCATTGCACCCCTTCCTGGAAGGCGAGGCGCGTCAACGCAGCGCCCGCCGGAAGCTTTGCAGGGGGGAAAAAATAAATAAACACCACCCCCCCCCCCCCACACACTAAATTTCCCCAAAATATGGGATAACCCCCCCCAGCCCCTCCCCGTGGTGCCAGGCTGCAGGGGCGGGGCCTCCTTGGGGAGGGGGCGCGGCTTCCTGGCCTCGCCTCCTCCGGGCGCGCTCCCGCTGGCCCCGCCCCAGGCGCCGCCGGTGACGGGCGGTTGGAGTGCGCCCCCTTGCGTCCCTCCCGCCCCCCCATGGCGGTCCCTGTGCTGGGCGCCCTCCTGCTGGTGCTGCTGGTGCTGCTGGGCGGCCTCTGCCTGGGCAGGTAGGCTGGGGGGGGGGTCCTTCCCCCCCGCCCCCCCCCCCCCCCCCCCCCCCTTCTTTTCCCCCCCCCCCAGCCACTGCCCGTTCTCCGGGTCTTCCTCCTCCCTGGGGGCGGGGTGGGCAGAGTCTTTCCTCCCCCGCCCCCCCCTCTTCCTGCTACCTGTCTCCACCTGTGGGTCCACTCCCTCCCCCACCTGTCTCTGTCTTCCCCCCCCCCCAACTGCCCCTATCGGAGGAGCTGGAGGGAGGAGGGTGCCTCTGAGGGCGTGCAGAGTGTCTTCTTGCAGCCTGGCTTTTGAGGAGGGTTGGGTGGAGGGCAGGGCAGGCGGCAGGTGGTGGCACCTGAGGCTTGGCTGGCTCCATCCCTGCCTGGAAAGCAGGGGGGGGCTCCTTTGGGAGCAGAAGGGGTGGGGGAACAGGTGCCCCTTCAAGAGGGGAGATGTAGCACCCGGGTGGTGCCACTTGTGCCCACTGCCGGGCTTAGCCAGGGGTCTCTCCACCCTTGGCCCACTTGGAAGGCTTGTGGACTTCAACTCCCAGAATGCTCCAGCACAGCAGAGCTAAGACCAGGAAGCATAGCTGGCTGGGGGATTCTGGGAGTTGAAGTCCACAAGCCTTCCAAGTGGGCCAAGGGTGGAGAAACCCCTGCGCTTTGGGTTCTGCTGTGGGCTGCTCTGCTCTTGTTTACAGGTAGTCCTCGACTTATGACCACCATCGAGCCCAACATTCCCATTACTAAGCGAGATAGATATATATTTTTTAAGTGAGTGTGGCCCGTTTTATGACCTTGCCAAGGTTGTTAAGTGGGTCCGGCTTCTCCATTGCTTGTCGGAAGGCCGCAAAAGGGACCATAGCCATAGAGTCAGAAGGAACCGGCTATTCTGGGAAAGAAAGGGGGGTCAACTATTCTCCAAAGAAGGGGGTCTCCAACCTTGGCCACTTTTAAGGCTTGGGGACTTCAAAGGTGGCCGAGGAACTCTGGGAGTTGAAGTCCCCAAGTCTTAAAAGTGGCCAAGGTTGGAGACCCCCTGCTCCAAAGCACCTGAAAGCAGGGTAAGAAATAACAGGTGGAAGCTTAACAAAGAAGGATCCAGCCTAGAATTAAGGGGGGGAAAATCCTTACAGCGAAGACCATCCAAGACTTCCCTCTGAGGTTGTGGGGGCTTCATCACTGGAAGGTTTCAAGAACAGGAATGGACAGCCATAATGGGTGTCCAGAACGGCATAAGTCGGTGGTGGCTAACCTCTTCAGCACCGAGTGCCCAAAGCGCTTGCACACACACACATACCCAAAATGCAATGCAGGTGCATTCCTCACGGATGTGCCCACGACCCCTCTGTATGCACCCAGCCCCCCACGCAGGCATGTACATCCCCACGCATGCGTGTGCATGCTCTACCCCGAATATGTGGCAGAGACCAGAGGACCAGCCGGCTGGTGGGAGGGGGCGTGCCTGCATGCATGGCGAGGCTGCGCTCAAGGGCCCACAGAGAGGGCTCCACGGGCCCCAGGTTCGCCATCCCAGGTATAGGGTCCCCTGCTGGAGCAGGGGGTTGGACTAGAGGACCTCCAAGGTTCCCTTCCCGTACTTTTATTCTGCCAGGGGTAGAGGGAAGGCGACGGGCAGCATGTCCACCTGGCCTTTCAGGTAAAGGCCTCCTTGCTCTGTCCTCCCCGAAGGTGGCTCCTGTACATACTGATCACCAACTGGTGCCGGCGGCGACTCCAAGCCGAGTTGAAGATCCAGTCCTTCTGGGTTTTGGGGATCCAGAACCTCAGCTTGAAGTTTAAAGAGGAGCAACAGACGGTGGTGAGTTGAGAGCTGCCTCTTGGGTTCTCCTGAGGAAGGAGCAGCCTGTCCACCTCTGGGTAGCCCCCTGCAAGGATGCCATGAATGTATGGTTTGTTGCCCGGACGTACCAGCCCACCTGGCGGTTGAAGCGACTGCGTTGTCACGGCAGGGACTGTTTGGGGGAGCTGGCAGGGAGGGCCGACGGCTCACGCTGCTCCTGCTGCACCTGCGGCCCAGGTAGGGCCTCCTTTTGAGTAGGGTAGAGAGAGACCCAGGGGCTGTGGGCCTCCCAGGTCAAAAAAGATGCTGAGGCTCTAGAAAAAGTGCCGAGAAGAGCGAGCAGGATGATGAGGGGGCTGGAGGCGGAAACCTACGATCTCTCCCAATATCTGAGGGGCTGCCCCAAAGAAGAGGGAGTTAATTTATTTTCCAACCTCCCCCCCGGAAGGCAGGACAAGAAAGAAGGGATGGAAAGTCACCCAGGAGAGAGGCAACCTGGAATTAAGGAGAAACTTCTGAGCGGTGGGAACCATTCACCAGCGGAACCGGTGGCCACCAGAAGTCGGGGGGGGGGGGGGGCTCCGTCCCTGGGAGTTTTGGAGAGGAGACGGGACATTGTCTGGAACGGTGCAGGGTTGTCCAACCTTTGCAACTTTTAAGACTTCTGTCTGTGGAGATTCTCAGCCTTCCAGGTGGATGAGAAGCGAAAATGTCTTCCCTCTTGGAAAAAAGACCTCTAGGTTTAAAACTGGTGGACTTCCAACTCCCAGAATTCCCCAGCCGTCATAGCCTTTTAAACGTCTGAAAAAGCTCCCGGGTCGCACAGCCTCGGCCTAGAGTCTCCTGCCCCAGCAGGGGGTTGGACTAGATGACCTCCGAGGTCCCTCCCAACTCTGTTTAATGCTGCCGTTTCAGGAGATCGACAGCATCTGGATCTCCAGCCGGCTCCTGAACCACGATGTGCCGTAAGTCTCCGGGGCGTTTTGGGGGGGTCCTGCGGGCGGCCTTCATGAACAGGGCGGCTGCCCCCCCTCCTCCCCCAGCCTCTGTGCCTTTTGGGGGGGTGGGGGGATAGCTGGGGCGCATCTTCAGACCAACGGCCAGAAACATCCTCTCCACGGAATAAAGGGGTGGAATTGGCAGGTGGGGAGTTTGACGCTTCCAGGTGTGCTAAAACCCCCCGGAGTTCCCAGCCAGCTTTGCCCCCTTCTGGGGACCTCGAATTGGGCCCGAGGCTCCCTGTCCCAGGAGCAGGAGAAAAGGGGGAGGGGGCTTCTGCAGCGCCCCCACCCCCCCGAATCCCTTCGGGGCCACAGCAGTGTCAGAATGGCACCTCCTGCCTCCTCCGGCCGCTCTGTGGGCGTCCTCTCTGCAACAATTTGCACTTTTGTAGAGCGACGTCCCGGTGCTGGATGGTTCAGGGTCAGTGGAGGCTTTCGAGAGTCGGTTGCACCGGGATTGGCGGAATTGGGAGCCGTGTTTGAGCGGCGGATTGGACTGGATTGAGACCACCTGTAAAACGGGAAGGAAGAAAAAAGGGAGAGGGGAAGGAAGGAAGGAAGGAAGGAAGGAAGGGTTAGAAGGGGGAAGGAGGAAGGA